GCTGCTGGTTTGCCATATCTCTGCCTGCAGAGAAGCCTCTGCTGCGGTATGCCAGATGAATGCACAGCACTGCAGGATGGGCAGGAATCCAGCACTGGACAGGACGGGGACAGAATATTTTAATTTCAGTCATGCGTGTTGGCTTTGAAAATATTTGTATTGAAATAATTATTGTTTTATTTAAGAGTGCGGCTTTATAATTACAACTTTTAAAACAATGCGGTTATTCTACAGTGAATCAGAAAAATGTGTGTGTGAATAGCCAGACGTTTCTGAAAAGGAAAGCAGAGGGAGATATTTGCGGGTTTTTAATAATGCTCTGCACAGAAGCAGGAAAAAAAAAAAAAAGTAAAAAAAAAAAGAAAATCACGTACTTTGTGTAACAATAATAATTAGCTCTTGTATAATTCAGCATAGAAACCCTGCACTGAAACCGTAACAACAAATTAATTGGAGATCTTTGTGGTCTAAGAGGAGCTACAGACAGGTTTAATTCTGCAGAGGTTCTGGCCGTCTCAGAAATCCTTCTATGACACATATACAAGATGGGGTGGTGGGAATACCCTGCCTTGTTCTGATCCCACACCAAGACAAAAATCAAGAAGTTCCCATCGTTATCCTTGGGAAATAAATCCAGGTATGTGGAGAAATCAAGTGTGTCATCCACCATCCCCCTGAGGGGACCACAACCACGGCAGACACCACACACCTGCTACACAAGTTGAAAGTACTGACGTGCGCCTTCTTTTAGAGGAAGACAGAGGACAGCACAGCAGGAGCTCTTTACAGCAGGACTACTTGAAAGTCTAGACTCTGATCACAAGCAAGTATTGAATGACAGGGCAGAAATCACAAGCATCACCCAAAGACCTTCCAGAAAAGGTACTTCTAACTTTACACAGTGCTGTGGTAGAACAACGGAAGGATCACTTGCAGTCAGCCAAGATGCTGCAACATCTATAACCCAAACCACCTCTCAGAACAAATGCCTTTGCACCTCCATGCAGGTTCTTTCAGGGCCCATTTGATGTAACAGATGGCAAATAATTTTTTTTTTTTCCTCCAGCACTATACCTAAAACCTAGTGCATCAGGGAGCAGCAGACAGAGATGGAGTGAAATTACCTGGGCCAGCCCTGAATCATAGCTAATAAGCCCTAATGGACCAGAGAGCTGGCCTAAATAAGTACACAGAGAACGCCAGCATAGTGGTGTTATCTCAGCTTTTTCTACTACTTCGCCCATCCCAGCCTACTGCTATTCCAGCTAATGGAGTGCTGTCTGCCTACTCAAATCTCAAATCCATACATTAATGCAAACCAGCCAAGTGATCATTAGCCCCAGAATGGGACTCAGTCTGGAGCGCCGTGAATGCTGAGCACTGGAAGAACTCCCTCACACACTTCACATGTCAAGCTCCCCTGTCACAGTTTCATATAACACCACATTTCTTTGAACATTTTCCCATTCTTACAATCACACAGCGTTTCCTGTTCTACAGTGGAAACAATTTTGTTCATACAGCATCAGTATCACTCTGCTTTTGGTGCAAACATTAATTCATTTGGTGATGGGTTGGCTTGATCCTTAAAATACTTTCTATTTTCAGATATAAAACATTCTTCCTATGCTGAGGAGACTACTGGACATCCACCTGAGCTCTCCTTTTGCCAGAAGAACAAAGGACTCCAAAGAAAAGAATTACACCCATCCTTAGCAATACTGATCCAGGCAGTAAAAACCCATACCAGGCATCTTCCTTTTTCTGGTCAAAGACAGTATTTCCCAGCAAATTCATGAACTTTCAACAACCTTCTGTTATTGCTGCTGAACTGGAGACCGCTGGAACCATCATAGCACAAGGATTTGGACTCAGTGACTCAAAATTAATCTTTGCATTTCATCATACCCCAGCTGGCTGGGCAGTGTTAGAGGGTTCGACCAGCCTGCTGCTCTTCAAGAGTATGACAAAAGCCACACTGCTCTATTTCTGTCTCTAAAAGCAGCAGGGATCATTCTCACTTACCAATTTGTAATTACGATTTCTAGATCAGCACCTGTGCTTACACACCAGCCCCAAACTCAAAAAAGTGTGTTGGTGCACATTCAGTTATTTGGTGACTGAACAACTGAACGGGCTGGTTTATTTCTGTGCATCATGATGCAGTAAGCTTGCCCATTTGAAAGCAATCTGGTGCTCAGTGAACCACAGAACACTGTCTGCCAGCTCACACATAGCAAAGGTAGTGTGTCAAAAAATACACACTACAACTATCTATGGTACCTATCATTTCTAACATCACATCACATCATGTCTGGTTACACTATGTCAAGTCACATCATCTTCCTTTACAGAAAACTCGTGTCAGTGCAATGATGACTTGCACTTTTTTTTAATTTCGTTTAGTATGAATGACCCATCTGCAGCAATACTGGTGATCTCCCCTTTTCTCCTGCATCTCCAAGGACCTCTTCAAAATTTCTGTTTGTGTTTTTTTAATACAAATACTAGAAACAAACATGTACCTTCTTATATCAAAATGCAAACTGCCAGTTTGATAAGGGCCTTGCCATCCAGTCCCTCAGGAATGCCACTTGGAAGAGCAGTAATGGGAAATGGTATTTTCTTTCTTCAAAACAATAATATTAATATTCTTTGTTCTACAATGCATCCACACCTGACACGAGTGGATTACAGCACTTTGCAAACATTAGCTTTTTTAAGAGTCTCACCTAGAATAAAGGTTGGCTTGCAAATGTGCTGGGGACAGCTGTCCCACTTGCTTGTTCATTTGATTTCCTCAGGAGCAGTGTGGAATATATAAACACTGCCTGAAGCCATTAAAAGACTGCCTTTAGTGGTAGAACTGTAGCAGCATTTAGCAGTAGTTCATGCCTCTCTGCATACTGCAGTTTTCCATTTTTTGTACCTGTTATCATTCCCTTCAGCATCCTGCTGAGATCATCACATCAGATAAGGGACCGGCTTTATCCTGGGCAGTTGGCACCATCAGGAATATCCTCAATCCAGACATGCTGTAATACCCATGGTCAGCAGTAACTTTCTGGTGCTGGAAGTATCATAACATGAATACCTGCACATGTGTGTCTTGAAATATGCATCTGCTCCAGATTAGCCATGCATCTGGATATGGTTCTAGTGAGCAGGTGGGAGAAATCCATGAGAGAGTGTCTATAAACAACTGTATTTAAGACATCTATCACCTCAATCTTGAGTAAGATCTTGCACTGAGTTCTGCTACATTTATCTCACACGTAATTGCCAAAGCCTGAGCCTCGGTATGTTTATTGTACTGACAACTCTATAAATTTCCTACTTAGAATATTTTCAGTAATAAATTTTTTCACTTGTGAAAACATACTGTGAAGAAACAGGGGTTACCACTGTTTTTATCTAACTATTATAGGACATTGCATTCAAGTGAAAAATACAGGGTTTATTACAGCTCAAGTAGTGAAATGTTTCGATGTTCGAGAGAAATATAATTCTTGTACAAATTTCATCCTATAAAACTCATTTTTTCATTAAGGTCCTGTTGCTTGTTCAACCAGCCAATACAATGAGTTACCTTAGAATTCACCATTAAAAATACACATATAGTATTTTCACTGAGCAATAGAAAACAACAACAACAAAAAAACTTATAAAGTGAATAAAAATGAATATTTGAGTCCAAAAGCTAAATTATGCTCAAAATATGAAATATGCTTTCCATTGTACATAAGCACAGGAATCCAACTGCAGTCAAGAACACAGGATCATTCATTCACAGAACTTTACCATAAAAAGCAAATCATAGGATCCTAGAATGGCCTGGGTTGAAAAGGACCACAATGATCATCTAGATTCAACCCCTGTGCTATGTGTAGGGTCGACAACCAGTCCACCAAAACAAGGCCTACGCTTTTTTATGCCATTCAGAATGTTTATATGTGAAAGACTAAGGTGAACAAACAAAACCAGCACATTTCTATGTTCATATAAAGTTGTTTGTATACAGCTGCAAAGAGAACAGGCTTGCAAGCAACATCCTTACCAATCAAGAGACGAACTGCTCACAATTAAGAAGGCTCTAAGTAAATATGTAAGAGGACAACAATTTCACACATTAAACCCTGAAGAGGAAATGTGTGCCCAACAGTTGGAGGTACTTGTTAGATCAAGTCTCAACAGGTATCTTGCAATGAAACCCGAGACAGCTCAGTTCTCCAGCCTAGACAACTGGACAACACTCAGACCTGCTGTCCATGTGCCAAGCCACTGCCATGTGGTGCTGAGCATGTTTCTGATAAAGCTAGCAAATAATCCCAGTATTTGGATCACTGTGTGGTAGGTACTCCCTTCAAGATGCACAGCATTTAGTTCATTTAGGACTGACAGAATAAGAAACAAACAACTGGACGCATTTCTACAGTGCGTGCCAAGCAGAAACTCAGTCGGGCTTTTCAGGCTTGGTATCTCGGATTAGCAGGTCCTTAAAAAGACATGACACGATATTATCCCCTTTTCAAACAGCGCAGACTCACTTTCCCACAGCTAAGCAGTAGGGAGGCATTACCTCACCTCTCCAAGCCCTCCAGAACACAGCAGCACTCAGATACTGCCCTGAAAACGTCATGAATCCCAAGGGGGGAAAGAGGCCGTCAGGCACGGAGGGCAACTTGCAGACGAGATGCATTGAAAAAAGGCCTGTCTGCTGCACACCGACCTACCAAAGGAAATGCTGAGAGCAAATCCAACAAACAAGTTCTATGGATGAGGATTACTCACTGAACTACCAACACTCATGAAAGCTGAGCACATCATTAGCCTAGAAAGCTCCCCAGCATTTCTCAGCTTACTTCACAGCCTCACCTTCATGTAATCTGGGCTTACTTGGCTACTGAATAAAACCTCCCGAGCAGCATTCCTCCCTGGTGCATCAGAGGAGGATAAGAAAACATGGTGCCCTCCACCACAACCCCCAAGCCCCGCCATACCTGAGCAGCACCAGAAGGGTGAGGGGCTCCCTCGGCGTCCCCAGGCGTGTTGAGGGACGAGGCAGACCCTGAGGCCACAACCCGAGAGGCAGCTGTGTGCAGCCGACCTCCTGCCAGCAGGACGAGCCTCCAGGCAGCGCGGGAGGGAAATGAGGCGGCAGAGCTGAAGCCGAAGCCCCGGGTCAAAGGGGCAGATCGGAGAAGCCCTCCACTCCCCACCCCAGGGAGCGTCGTTAAGGCTCATTTGTGACCCCAGAGACTTCGAATTTTTCAATCAGAGCTGGTGGAGGCTGTTTTGTTTTGTAACACTGACAAAACAATGCATTCCATCCACGTTGCCCTCTGAGAAATGGCTGACTCGCCCCCACCTGCAGCTTTCCTCAGAAGACAGTAAGCCCGGGACCCAGATCAGGCATGGACAATTTCAGCCTGAAGGGTTAAAATCACAAGCAGCACATAATGGAGTCTGAATTAGCTCTTCGGCTGTGTATCACAGCTTCTCCTGTTGCATTGAAAATGGGTACAGATTAGATTCTGTGGGAAGGGTTAATAACATCTTTCATAACATCTCGCTGCTAAATGAGCCTTGTTTCAATGCTACCCATGCTACCAGGGCTTACTTGGATGTAATTCCATTGCTCCTGACTTACTCCAGTTCAAGGGAAAAATGAATGCACCCATGTGTGTCTGGGCCTCTTTATGATTGCAGTCTATCAGAAAATGCATTGAAATGTCAGGACCATAGCAGCCTGTCAGCTTTATTTCTCAAATGCCAGAGTGCTGCATAAACTCACAAAATAGTTTATGGCTTAAACAGTACTCTCCTTTTATTCTCCAAAACTTGATTCTTCCCTGATCCCCTCAGTGGCACATGGTACACCAGTTTGGGGCACGTTGTCAGGCTGCACCTGGAATATTGCGTCCAGTTCTGGTCCCCACATTCAAAAAAGGCAAGGACAGATTGGAGAGGGTCAAAAGTAGGGCCATGAAGATGACCAGAGTGCTGGAGAACCTGCCCCATGAGGATAGACTGAAGTAGTTAGGTCTTTTGATCCTGGTGAAGACACGTGGGGCCACCTCACACTGTTTCAGTACTCAAAGAGTAAGTACAAAAAGCATGGAAACCCCCCCTTCACAAGGAGCCACGTGGAGAAGACGAGGCAACAGGTACAGACTTCATCAGGAGAGGTTTTATATTGATATTAGAGAGAAATTTTTGACAATAACATCAGTCTCTGTAACAGTGTCTCCAGGGACATGGTGGAGTCCCCATCATGAGAAGATTTCAAGATGCAGATAGGGTGCTAGATAATCTCATCCAGACTCACTTTTCCCACAAAAGCTTGAACCTGATGATCTTTCAAGGTCCTTTCCAACCAGTGCTGTTCAATTATTCTACAGATGAAGTCCAAGGCTGCCATGATGCAAGCACAGCAGTGAGAACAGGGAGCAGAAATTTTTGCCTGCTGTTTTTCACATCTCCCTCAGCTACTCTGACCAGCATGATAGTGGGGTAACCCTTCACCACAAAGCCTTCTAGGTAAAAGCCAGCTCATCTTTCTGCCAGCCAGTTTTAAAGGATGTGTTTAATACGAAACTGCTGCAACAACTCTGCCCTTGCTGTTGGGTACCAGCAAACCTCCAGCACAGCAATCTTCTTTGCAGAAGGGAGAAGGCTTGATGTTGTACTTTTTATAGCTTGCGGTGTAGAATTTTAATTTCCGTTTGAGCAGTTTGGTTTAAGATGTCTAAAGAGAAATGCTGGAGTAAAAATCTGGACTGTGCCTGGATGTGGCAAAATCAGTTATAAATATATATCCAAAAGATTGTAGTTGGATTCTTCATGTGTTTGTTTTGTTGTTGTTGTTTTTAATTTATTTTCAGACACTTTAAATTTTTATGTCTCTTGTAAAAGAGTAGTTAAAAATAAAATTGTAATAAAAAGAAATATAGCTGTATTATCTTCCTAATAATATATTGGATTTCTTCTTTAACGATATATAAATTTCCAGCACCCCAAACACCGTGCCATCTCCAAAGGTCATTTTGACTTTGTTATTTGATAAAGAAGGGAAAAGGTAGAATTCTCTACTAATGCTTTATTTCTGTGATCTTAAATTTTAACCTTTTCTGGCTATTATCTATAAATGGATGCAGGTTTCTATATAATGAGCTGGAATCTCAGTGGATTTAAAATAGTTCACCGAGTTGAACTGAGCTATGCCAATTTATGTCCACTGAAGTTCTGGCCACCATTCATAACCTCTTCAGTAATTTCTAACTAGCTTGATACATTCTTTTGCTGTTAATCCACACTTCTTTAACGAGCAGCATGCCAGAAAAAGTTGAAACTCCATTCAACTGTACTACATATTCCCTAAAATTCTTAGCAACATGAAATAATAACATCAGTTCAGGACATCCTCAGATTACGTTAAGGCCTAATAGCTTGATCTCTTCTGTTACTTTTAATGTGGCACTTGCTTAAAGGCAGTAGCCAACATCTGACATTATCTTTGACTTTCAATCTACTCTATAAAAATTGGCACAACCTGATGGGAAATTTTATATGTAATTGTTAGGCTGATGCTTTCACTGGAAAATTGCTCCAAAGTCTTTGCTTTACAGAACTTCTTTTATGTCACTAAAACTTAAAGTTTTTATATGCTTATCTTACACAGAAGTATTTAAGTCTATTCTTTGTCTTACTGCTTATTTGCTTTTTGGCACAGGCCAAACACTGTAATATGCATCCATTTCAGCCTAGCCGCTTGGCACCTTAAACAGCATACAGAGCAGAATAAGTTATCTCGGATTTGGATATACTTGCCAGAATTGATATATTCACTTATACTGTTAGGTCAACATTTATAATAATAATTCTTATTATACTGCATATCTATTATTATAAGATTATGATCTAGCAGTGCCTAGAGGTCTCAGAAGATGCTGACTTATCACCCAAATAGTGAGAGACAGTTTTATACTCCTGGAGAAACCACCCACAGTGAATTTGGGTTATTTAAGCAGCTTCAGCATACCTTTTAATTTCAGCCTCTGGACTTGCACCAGACGTCATTCTGAGACACAGAGTGTGAGATGGAAGAAGATCATTTCCCAATAGTGATATTAGCTCGTTTCTAAAGCAGTTTTTAGAGCCTCCCAGATTAAACATCTTTAATGGCTGTCCCAGGAAAATAAATGGACCATAAGCAGAAATAAGACAGGTTTCAAATGAACAAGGAAATTGTATGTGAGTTCGAATTCATTTGAGACCCAGATAGAATGGTGGGTTTAGGAACATGTCTCTAATCCATATTTGTAGTTGGGTAATTGAAACTGTAATTTTGCTGAGTTTCAGCACTCCATCATCATCTACATTTAATTTCACTCTCCAGGGTGCTCACTATAGTGTTAAAAATCCATACTAATACAGACAATACAACATAGCTGAATGAGACACCCCAGAGCTGAAGCCACAAAGAACTTTGGAGAAGAGAACGATGGAGAAGCTCTTAACACACCTAAGCCTCTCACTGACTTCTGCAGAAGACCTGGTTGGGCTTAACTCTGCTTTTTTTTCCAGACTGAGTAGATGCTGCCCTGCTCTGCTTATTTTTTCCCTTTTTTTTGCAGATGTGTCTGTTGGAATCAGGCACACAAAGTGCAGTGTTTTAGTACATATCTTTAACACATCGCTCAAAGACTGCATCTACAACAAAACATGAGACTTTTTCTTCTGATACTAGAGCATAACAATGAGCTAATATCAGGATTATATGGGGCTTAGGGTAGTATTATATGGGTAGTACTAGAATTGTAAATAGATGCATTATGATTATATAAGAATAGGCTAACATTAAGCAGTGAGAATAGGCTAGCACATATTTCTGCATGGAATGGGTCTTCCAGGTATATCAGGGAGCATTTTCATTCTGTATGATAGCTGTTGTTCCTTTTGCTTGCATATGTAGAACCCACTAGTATAAAGAAAGGACTTCTCATCCCATCCTTTCCACAGATGTTCAGGACCACATACATGACTGAAAGCATGCCCCTTTTCTCCCTGATTTTCAACCTGTTTGTCTGTTCACCCTGACTTCTGCTGACAGTTCTCCTGCCTCATTTACTGGAAAACATCCACGTTGTGAGTAGCATACTTGCAAAAATAATGGTCTGTGTATGTCCTTCATAGTATGTATGAAAATGTTTTTCCACTGCTGAATGAATAGGCAGGCCAGAGAGCTGACAACAGCATGTGAGAAAGGCAACCATCATCAGTGAGAGCTGATGAACTTCCTCTAAAAAGTGATTCCATGCAATAAAGGTGTTTTGTGCTGGTACAGAAGAGAATCTAAACAATTGATCTTTCTTGAAGGGGCTTCTCATTAACAATCTCATGACAGAAATCCCCGGAGGTGTTGGGAATCTGTAACATAAACCTGGGCTTAAAATGAAAACTTTTGTCATCTTATATAAGGCCCTCCTTAATTTCAGCCTTGGCAGAAAACAGCACTACCTTCTGCAGCTGCTTTTCTCTCTAGACTCTTAAAAAGACCTCAGACAAATCTAATTCACGTCTCACTTGCTCCAGGCACTCAAACCATCTTTGGAGTCACAAAAGCATTTTGGCAATGATATTGCTGAGCTGGAAGCAGATTGATAGATTCAGTAAGTGTGAGAAATACACACTTGTGTGTCTGAAAGGTTTAAAAGAAAGCTAACAGATGCTAGACCTGTTCTTACAATCTAAGTATCACATAGAAAACCAGCATAAAAACACAATTAGCAGTTTTGTCCTTACAGATGTTATATCTGCACTGCTACCTATTCAGTCATTCACATGCCCAGTGTGAACACACATTTTAAGAGTCAGTCTTCAGTCTAGTCTTAATTACACCTCATTTTGCACTTAAAAGTTTAAAAACATATTTTGGACCAGTCAGGGATCCCAGGAAAATTAAAGTAGCGCCCTGCTGAAGCCAATGGGAGTTTCGACAAAGTCTACTGAATCTCAGCCCTGGCATTCACTGTGAGTTAAACTAAAGCTGCAGTTGTTGCTCTGGCAATCTGTTACTTCGGAAAAGGAAGCTAGTGGCTAGAATGGAACTGTTAAGTGCCAAAAGCTACGATTTGAGTTGTTTCTCAACTACCATTCTCCCACTAAATGCCCTTCTAAGAGATACTGCATTACCAAAGTCATTAGCAAGTCATTTTATTTCCATTATATCCGCATTTTCATCCAGAAATAGAGGAGAAAGGAAATCAGATCTCTTTCTCACCTACACACACTGCATGTTAATGTGACTGTGGTATTTTTTTTACTTAGGACTGGAGACAAAACTCCCTGGTACTTACCAATAGCATACCAAACCCCATTGATTGCACACGTACATAAATACAAATCTAACT